TAGAATAATAAAGGTTGCTTTGTTTTAAAAAATCCCAGAATGTTAGAGGGGAAAATGAAGGGCTGTTTTAAAAAAGGCAAGTTTCTATTCTATTTTAGACATCTGTCTTAACATGAAGTTTTATATTGGTATGCATATCTATAGCCACAATACTGCTTATTCTGAATACAGAAGATAGATAGAGTATTACAGCATTTAAATGTGATTTAATTGGTTCAATTTACTATATGTTTTTTACACTAAGTGCGGTTCCATATCTTGATGAGCCCAGATGTAGTTATGCCAGTGGTTTACAGCATCCCATTGCTTGCATTTTATTATTTTCACAAAGCAAATGTCTATCAGTCATAGAGATAAATTAGAAAAAATTGTGCAAACATGACACATCGCAAAGATTTTTCCAGCATGCTATGTAATTATTAACCTGATTTTTGCCACTGAAAGAAGCCACGAATTACAGATAGCATGGATGAAGTTAAATGCTTTTACATTAGATATATTTTGCTTATACAGTATTCTATAGGTATGGCCATACAATATAATTGAAGCTTTGTCAGCTCTGTAGCCTAGCAACAGATAATACTGTTAGGTTACTGAATTGCTCCTGGTTGACAAGTAGGGAGTATTTTTGTGTTTATCATGTTTGCTAATGATGGGATCCTTTCCAAAAGGCTTGTCTTAATCTTAATTAGAGTTTATCAGCAGAGGTCTGCATGACATTGTGCAGACACTGATTTCATAAATAATAAAAAGTGCAAGTGAAAAATTTGGCAGGAGAAGAAGATATTTAAGACCACTGATTCTTCTAAGAGCAGCATGAATTTCCAAAATGTAATCAAGTTTGAACTGTGACTCTATTCTTTATTATCGAAACTTGCAGTACACTCCACTGCAGTTTTGACAGCAATTATGAGTATGATTTATAAGCTTCCTGTTAGGAACCAGATCTGTTTGCACAAGAATCTTGATCATAAACATTACAAAGAACAGTAAGTCCACAGTTTTTCAGGGACATCAGGACCTTACTTTTTCCTTTCTGTAGAGCTTAAGTTTTTTTTTTTTAATTAAAGGTTTTTTTTTTTTTTCCAAGCAGCAGAATCATTTGCAGGAAAAGATGCAGATAAAGAAGAGAATCCTAAAATAACCTTTCCATTTGGCAGAAACTGTGAAGGTATCAGATAGTTGCTTTGGTGCCTGATGTCATTTGATAAAAAAAACTTATGCCAATGCAGTTGGAATGTAAATTTTTGCTCTAGTTTGCAAAATACGATATTCTTTGACTTTCCCAACTTTCTATGATTAAATAGGCATTTCTAATTCCTTGCAGTGTGAGCTAGAAAAAGAGTTGAGATAAATGAATAAGTAGCATTCATGGACATTTTTATTCTGTTATTCTGCTTGACATGTATGTATTGTGTATTAGGTAAATTTATTGGACAGATTTAACCATTGATAGAACAATATACTGCAAGCTCATGAAACTTATTTTCGGTTCTATAGAGTCAGAACTAGACTTGTATAGAAAAGAGTTTTCCACTGTCACAAAGTCTTGCTGTAGTTCGAAAACTTCTCTTCTGCACTGGGACAAGAGTAATACTTTTCTTACCCCTCCATATAAAACCAGTAAAGCCTTCTTTATTAGAAATGGATAACCACTGTACTCATTAGGGGTGAAAAGACCAAATCATTAGTCTGCCACTTTTCTGCCTTCCAAACAAATGGTATAACCACCACCTTCTTTCTGAGGCACTGTCACTCTTTTTTAGTAGAGCTTGTTTAGAGGTTCTTCCTTTCTTTTCTTTTGATGACTTAGGATTGAGAAACTTGGCCCAATAAAGCTTTGTCGGAACTGTTTCACTTCTGTATGTTTTTCTGACAAAAGGAACATTGGTCAAAAGATTTCTAGCCAGTTTAGTCAGAACTTTATCTCATGCAGATGACAGGCCTTTACATTTCTTTACGAAACCCTCATATCTTGCATATTTTTTAAACAAACATCTTCCTGTCTTGTGCATTGCCACCTGCATTTGGTAAAGACTCTTTATATAGATCCTTATCCTTTTGAAAATCCCTCATGAACACTGTCCTTTGCATTGCAAAAAAATGTTGTGATCGTGAGAAATTATATATGTCAGTTGTCTTTTAGCTCGTAGAAATGTTTGTGGGAAGCAAGAACTTTTTCGCATTTTGCAACAGCTAGTAGTATGGAAGCCCTGGTCCCTCACAAATGTGTCTGGACAGTACGATAATTCATATGATAATAGTAGTTGGAAGCTGGTATTACATTTAGATGCCTCTCTCAGGTTCCCTGTACTCCGTTTTCCTGACTACGCTCAAGAAGAATTTTCTTGCACTGTATACCCAGTCATCCTGAAGGCCAGCATATTTGCATTCACTGCATTTAGGGAGTAGAGTAATTTGGGTCTTTCAAAATAGCAGCTATTGCCTTACCTCATGCCACCAACCATAGAAGGGGTCAAGAAGGGACTGTACTGTGCCCTGTCCCTCCAGGTGAAAATTACTGTGGGTGTCGTATACTTCATTTCCAGTAGCTGGAAGCATACATCATTTGGGAGTTCATCTGGGATCTAACTTAAAGAGCATATCATATATTGATGAAAAAGTAGACACATATGTCATGGTCCCTCAAATGTCTCATTTTCTGTAGAATACGATGAAATAAAATACAAAAATAGCAGTGTAATCCTTGGACCTAAATTATGCTGGGCTGAACGGTTGTATTCAAATTCAGGAGTGGATTAAACTTCCGTAGTTCTGGTTTATTATAATATACCAAGCTAGACACTGGTGTGTTTCCAAAGCTGTCGCCCATCTCATTCAGCTGAGGCTGCCGTAGGTGTGACAACCTGCAGGACCTGGGTGGAGCAGACAATGCAGGTCCCTGTCCACTTCAGCTGTCCTAGTTTCGTCTGCTGCTGGACATGAGTCAACAACCTAAGGAGCTCTAACACAGAGAGACTGAGTCACTCTTCTAGACTGATTACAGCTGGAGACCCAGTAATCAACTACATTTTCTTTTTTTCTCCCCAAGGGTACAGCATGTCAAGATGTTTGCTGGGATAGAGAAAGTTACAGATGGTTCTTCTGCGGTTTCTCATTTTTATGTTGTTAAGAAATCCAGTGAGTAATGCAGTCTAGGAAGAGCTCTTACTCTGTATTAAAATATACTAAAAAACATGTTGGTTGATTGTTACACGTTCCATATATAAAAAAGACAGAGGTGTAACTTAATAAAGGAAGCCCCGCTTCCTCTCAGGAAATAAACTGTGCATGGTGTTTGCAGTGAAAGAGTACCCAGTCTCAGGTTCTCTGACTGCAGTGCACATAGATCACGTACTTTCGTCTACGAGACCAATTAAATATGCTTTTGGAATTTAGCCTGGTTTTCTCTCAGATAGATTTTATACCAGTTAAACTCCAAACTGTGGATTTACTCCTGAGTGGCATCAGACAGTAAGTCAGACTGTAGTCTTTGAATGCTTGAATTTGTGCTCGGTCATTAGGATTCTGGATTTGCAGACATTTATGATGCTGTCTTCACATTTTGTCTTCTTATTCTCTAGAGGAAATTTCTCCAATTTCCACCATTTAATGCTGTAATTTTGGAGTGCAGTAAACCTTAATATATTTTGGTCCCGTTTCGGTAAATTGTTTGTAAACTTTGGAGCCACCTTCAACTGTTGTGTTACTAACGGGTAAATATAAAGACACTTTTCTGCTTTGAAACTTTTACACCACTTTGAGGTCTGGAAACTCAGCTTTATTTTTCCACTGAAACACATTGTCACTGATGCTGTTTTGTTTGCTCATCTTTGAAAGCTAATAGACTGGTTTAATTAATTGTCCAAGATTTCTCTAAAACAATGTCCTAATTCTTCCATTTAGCTGTGGCATATCATACACTGTTGTTATCTTCTCTACCAGATTTTTGCAACAAGTTGTTTTAAAACTATAATCTCTTTGAGGGGAAAAAAATGAAGTGCAGTTGAAAAGGCAGTTATGCTGAAAGATAAACACAGCAATATTACTTATCAAAACGAGTACAGTTTTTGCTTGCCTAATGAATACAACATATAGCTTTTTCTATATATACAAAACCTGAGGGGGGAAAAAAAAGCCTTATAACATATAAAGTATGCAACATTATTTGAGGCATAACTGTATTGGATATGTATCTAGGCCTGAGAGTGTAGATAACACAATATAAGTGCTTTGCCTGTCTAAACATGTTAAATAAATGAGCATTCACTATCGCATTCAAATACATTAGTAGATGTACTCGCATAGTTAATTTTCTTTTTAATGCACTACACGTGACATTTGCAGCACAGAGCTATAGTGTATCTTACTGTTTGATGAAAGTTCTTCCCCCCCCCCCCTTTTAAACAAACCTTTATTTGAATAAGCCTTTATGAAACAGATCTTTGGCATATCTTCTTTTCAGGAAGTTCAGTCAGTGTAAGCAGAGATAAAGCAGTCATTTTACGAAGAGTATTACATAAGGGAAGATTTTTTAGAGAAAGATGGTGGCAAACATAAGGGAGAGGGAAAACACCCTTAAGAGGAATTCGGATTTCTTTTTAGCTGCTGCTTGGGTTTTGTTGTACTGTGATTGGGTATTCAAAATAAAGCAAAACTGGAGTTACGAAAAAATACACAAGAAGTTTCATGGAAAGTAATAATTAATTAAATGCCAAATAAAATAATTTCACCTGTGTCTTAATTTTCATAATTTCAGGAGACGAAATGAAAAACTAAAATGAATAGTCTTAATGCAAATAATGAGGAAAAGTGTCCCTAAATTGTTAAGCATTGCAAATTCTTCTACTGATAGAAGGAAAAACAGTAAAAATGAGAATTATTTGTCTCTTTTCCCTGAACAAACCATCCAAAAAGAGCCTAACCTAGCAGTGGTGTATTAAGTTCTTCTGGAATCTGATATTGTCAATTAAATTCTTCTGCTTTTATGTTTTCTGTAGGAGGGCAGCTTTGGTGTACCACTACCAAGGCCATCTCAGAGGGTGAAGAACTGATTGCCTTTGTTGTAGATTTTGACTCAAGGCTGCAAGCAGCTAGTCAGATGACTCTTACAGAAGGGATGTATCCTGCACGCCTGCTGGACTCAATACAATTGCTCCCTCAACAAGCTGCAATGGCATCTATTTTGCCTACGGCTATTGTGAACAGTAAGTGTTGAACGCTATTCTCTGACCTTGTTTTAAAACAGCCTTACTTTAAAGTACATATGAAGAACAAATATGGTAATAGTGAATTCAAGGCAACAGAAATCATACAACTTAAAACACATAGCTTAAAGCTTCTATGTGTTCTCCTGTCATCGCAGATGAACTAGCAGACATAAAAGGAGGAAGAAGAGAGGTCTGACAGCTGTGAGCTGTAAGAACCTCACCCAGAACGTCTAACCTGCCATCATGGGGAATTTCTGTGATCAGAGGTGATACAATCAGAGACTGCTGAAAAAGTAGATAAGACAGACCTGTTAGCTCACAAAGTCCAGCCTTTGCTTCTCAAGTAAGGTTGTTGCTTACAGTGCAGTTTCAGATAATAATTCACGATAGTCAATGAAAATAAAGAACACATTTCATCAGTGGCTGTTTCAAAATGCAGTAGAGATCATTCCTTTTAACAGTGCTGATATATTATAGTATCTCAACTCAGCGTGGCTACACAAGAATGTGTTTAAGTCCTCTGGACATCAACAGACCCTATCATGGACAAAATATAGCATGTAATTAAGTGCTGTCCTAAGAGAGGAGGGACATTAGCAGATGATAAGTGAGTTCCTGAACTGGGATCATTCAGCCTGAATGTTCTATTTATTAAGTTTCATTTTATTAAATTTTCCCAATTACGTTTTTTTTAACCTTTATACAGCCCTAGTTTCTCATCCTGCTCATTCAGTAACTTTCAAATATGTTAGCTCTTATCATGTGCCTCCTCAGTCATCACTTAGACCTATTGCACGTATTTAGCTCTTTCAGTATTTTCTTTGTAAGTCTGTTCATTTAGAGCCCTTATTGCAGCATTTCCCTAAGCTTCCTGTGGTTTGCAAATATTGTAGTTAGATACAGTGAACTACTGAATACGCTGTTTCAGCTGAGGCACGCAGGTTTTCCACTCGGCTCCCATCAAATAACACTGTCTTGAACAGTCACACCATCTTCAAGCTGTTCAGGCAGCACTAGTTAAAATATCTGTGGTAACACCTTTAATTGAGTATTTTTTTTTTTCACTGATAGTTTTCTCTGTAAACAATTATGATAGCTATGTACTTGTTTTAACGTTTTTAGAACGATATACCTTCCCATGTCCAAGTCATCCAAATGCCTCTTTCAGAGAGCTAGTTGTGAACAATTTCAAGCACTTTAGCCAAGCACGTTCAGTTTTATTCTAGCCGTGGAGCTGTTGTGAGAGCTGACATAACGTGTCAATAGAACGAGAAATAAGAACTATACAGGACTTTTCCAAAAGAAAATGCAAGAAGCCCTTTAATGAAGAGCGGACCATCAGGTTGCTGCGGTTGAGGCAGACCAGCGTTCATAGCCGACAGCCACAAGGGACGTGCTAGGGAACAAGTTTTCTAGCCTAAATGGGCAACAACTTACTCACGGTTTGTTTCAGCTGAGGACACGTTTTTGTGCAAGTCCACACAAGGCCAGCTCTGGGTTTCGGTTATGCAGGCAGATTTCTACAGCATCAAATTTTCAGAAGCACCTTTACTGACCAGCCTGCCTTTTGCAAAGCCCTGGAAGGCCACACTGATCATTGCTACTTCTGCTATTAAAAGGAGTCCAAGCTTATGGTATATCAGCTCTTGCTACACAGGTTTCACAGCAACTGGTAGTAACCTCAGCACCTTAACTGCCAGAGGCTGATAAAGCAGCAAGTCCCACTATCCAGAACTTTCTATTCTGGTGTTGGCTCTGCCTCTGACAAGACTAGGCCATTTCCAGATATCTTTCTTGACCTGGCCAAATTCAGTTTCTCCTGTAAAGTCTCGAGCCAGATGTGAGTCCAATAATATGCTGAATGCACCTCTAGATTTGTAGTGAGACATCTTAGTCACTCTGCTAGTAGATCTCTGAAAAAAGTACTCAGTTTCTGGCAAATTAAATTTTCCTGTTAGGAGTATCAAAATTCAGTATATCATCTTTGGTTCATTTAGCCTGAGCTTAAATTTTTCATTTTCTGAATTGATCCATTGAAACATTTTGAAATCATCCACTGAAGCAAATCGAAACATTTTACTTTGAAACAGTTAAAACATTAACTTAACCTGGCTTTTATCTGTGTTTCATTGGCTTAGCTGAGTAATAGTTTCAGACCTTGTTCCTATACATTATTCTCCCTGGAATTCCATCCTTCTACAGTGCAGAACTACTCAAAACGCATTTCCTCTGCATAGCATGTAGTGGGAGCCACATGTTCACTGTGCATAACTGGAGCTGCAGCCTGTCCAGGCAATCTATCCCATAGGAAATAAAGATGGCTGGAAGTCAAGTTCATTAAGATAATAGGAAAGTTAAATTCTGTGATGGAATGTAGTCAAAAGAATTCAAATGGGACATGCTTGCCCATGTTTCAGAATTTCCTCTTACTGACTTTTGGACTTTCTCTTCTAATGAAACCTCAGCAGCTCAACTGTTTCAAACCATGTGAAGCCAAGAACAAAAGCTGAAATGTCAGCTTTTGCTTGAGATGGACGTTCCAAGTGCTGCCAGCTTTATCAGTGATGCTTTTAATAGTGGTATATCCTGGAATAGTAACTGCTCCATTAAATGTTTGTTTCTTTTAAGTTCACTCACAATTATTCAGTGGCAAAGAGAAAAATAGGAACTGATAGTGGTGAAAAAATCTTAAAGGCTGCAAATTAATGAACAGAAAACTAGACAAGCATTAGCAATGCAATTAGAACAGCAAACTAAGCAATGTAAATTTTGGCTGCATTTGCAGATATTTAATGAGTAAAAGATTTGTCCCTTTCAGTGGGTTGGATTCTTCAACTTTGTTCACGCAAAGGAACTGCAACAGAACAGTTGTGCTATACACATCAGTATTTGAAATTGAGCATAAATTGTTATGAATAATAATGAATTACATCATCAGTTACACATGCCTTAATAGATAAATGTCACGACTTTCAAGTGTCAAGGGAACTAGGAATTTTCAGAGCAGTCAGCCGTTTGTCCAGACTAACTTAATCAAAGTCGCTAGTTCTATTTGAAAATCTTGGTATGAATCTGAGGCTTAAATTTTCAACAGTCAGCTTTTGGCTTTCTGAAGTCAATGACAGATGTGGTGTTGACCAAGATGGCTATATTTTGATGTTGATTGCAATGGCCCGTTCTATGACCCTGAGGCCAGCTGGCACGATCTGGCCATACTCATACTTTTATCCTCTCAATCTCAAAAGCAGGAGAGACGCACTCAAACTAGTTGTAGGAAACGATCCCTGGCCTATGGTAAGTCTTGAACTCTTGTATCTAGGAATGGGGAAAGTGTTAATTGATTTAAGCCACAAATGTGCAAGGGCCCATCCTAATGGTTTAACAGTATAAATAGCCAAGTTTCAGTGCTCCAGTCTGGACCCTGTCACTATTTAATTTACTAGTATAGACGTACCCAAAAGGGCCAAGATTTCTTCCCTGTTCTTACTGATAGGATAACAAGTTCAGCCCTTAGGAGGCTCAAATAGCTTTTCGTCCTCCTGAGACAGATATACAAAATGTACTCTGTGGGCATTCTTCTGACAGGGTATTAACAACCAAATTTCTATCTGTCTGCTTTGTGAAAATACACAGTATTCAATAGTACTCTTCACATGAGTAAAGGATGTAGCCTTCAGTACATGATCAAATATCTACCCCCTCTGCTTCTGGGAAGCACTCTGTACAATCCCTCCATTGTCTTCCCCTCAGAGAGGATTCTGACATTTTGGGATAAAAGACAATGAAAAATTGCGTTACTCTTAGCAAATATCCTTTCTGCGTCGTGAAAAGTAGAACAGTAACAATTTATCAAGAATAACAGGACAAAGTACATCAGAAATTTTAACTCTTAGCATTAGTAACAACAGGGACCCAGGGAATAAACATTTTTGCTAGTATAATACTAATTTCAACATTGTAAGATCTAAAGGAAACATAAAATTCATCTAGTCTGACCTCCTGGACATCATTGCAGCAGGATTTTGTGGTGATAACTGCATAAACTTGTGTTTAAACTCAAAAGGGTATTTTCAGAATGATAGGCAATTAGCACTCAAAAATTCCAAGGCCTGATACCAAAAAGAAGTATGCACACATTAAAAAAAAAGGACTGAAATGGGTCACCTATTGAACAGTGATGTATTGGAAATAGAGCTATTTAAATAATTAAAAGTAAATAATTTGATTAATTAAATTCAGTGCTGCATATTCATCATAAACAGTGAATCTTATTTCCTTTTGAAATCGTATGCCACAAACTTCCAGCCTTTTTTTTAATATTAACTATTTTTTAAATTTCCTTTTAAAAGAAACTACTGTCTCCCACATTCGCTTGCTCTCTTGCAAATGACATTTTAATAAACCTGTGACTCAATTTTCAATATTTTATTAAATAAGCGTGTCTTTAATGGGGAAATGAAGGGAATTAATCCCGCTATGTTAATTGTTTGGCACTGAATGCACCATGGCTAACCTGCACCTGGTTATATTTGCTTGTAGAGGACATATTCCCTTGCAAATCCTGTGGCATTTGGTATCGAAGTGAGAGGAATTTACAAGCCCATCTCATGTACTACTGCAGTGGGAGGCAAAGAGAGGGGCCTCAGCTGTCGGAGGAGAATGAAGATAGCACGCAGCAGATATCCAGTGTCTGCCCCTTTCCGCAGTGCACCAAAAGTTTTTCTAATGCAAGAGCTCTGGAAATGCACCTAAATTCTCACAGTGGTAAGTGCCATATATCTTCTTGTATTGGGTTCTAGATTTAACTGTTCTAAGAATTAATCACTGTAAACATTCAGTGGTCAATGTCTCTCAAAATATATGCAAGCATTGGGTGTACATACTACTAAGATGTCAAGTTTCTGACGTATATTCTCCTCCATGCACCTCTCTCGTGTAAGCAGTGTCATTTCTCTAATCTACTTATCTTTATTTAAATGCTCTCTCTCTCTCTCTCTCTCTCTCTCTTAAAGTGTGTATTCACACATAGAGGCGGCATTTCTTTACTGGCGAGGGTGTGTTCAGGAATCCAGACATTAGACTGCTGCTTGGTCCCTGAGAGACTTGATGATTACATCAGGATTTTGCCCACCAAACATTAGTCTCCTGGACCACCACAGTCTTTACCTGCGCTCTTTTGACACTCAGTGGAGAGATACACACTGTCAGAGACCAAGTCCTCACAATACATGATCTCAGGGTCCTAGAGTAGGCTTCTAATTTTAAGGCAGGAGGCTTTCAGGAGTAGGGTTAGGAACTCTCTGTGTACTTTTTCCAAGCCACTTGTTCCATAACTTCTGAATGTTCCTTTCCTTCTTTATAAAATGGGGATAGTATTTCCATTGTCCATATTTTTAAAATTAATAATATTGGACTTACGGAAGGAGGGATTAAAAAATTCCAGTGATTAAAAATCTGGAACTTAGCAGGGATCCTATCTCACTCCCTGGAGATCCTGTGAGTGTACTATTTAAATTTTTTCTGAATTAGGCCTGAACTCACAGGTTATGAGTTTGCAGAACATTCTGCATTGGAGTTTCTGTTAGCATGCAAAATCTGCAAATAAGAAAGACTGTCATATCAGGTATGGGTATGTTGGCTGTCTAGTGTACAGAACAATGTTTGGAAAGAGACAAGGGAGTTCCAGGAATTCCAGGAATTCACAGAAAGTCTATTCAGCTGCAGTGTGAAAACTGAATGCTCCTGGGGAAAAGGGAGTCTGTTCTGTGGACTTAGTGAAGTAAAAAATGCTCCTCTGATATTTAGGAAGCAATTACAAATCTAAATCTTTTTTTTTTTTTTCTCCCAAACGGTGGAGATGTGACATTTCTTCTTCTGGTACTTCTTTAATTATAATTTCATTATTTGCAAAGAAAAGAAAGTACAGAGACTGCATTATAGAGGATGTCAAAATACATGTTTGAGTACGCAAAAGTTAGTAAACTTTCCATACCACCTCAGCTCTACCACAAGCAGAAGCAGAAGCATTTGTATCTAACCGGAAAGTTAAAGAGACCACCTCACCACCACCACCACTGCTCTGTCTGTAGGCATTTCTAATCAGTGCATTTATCTCATAGAAGCCACAGGTTCAAATAATGTGTTTTGGCTTTTTATTCAGTGCATAGGAGGAGTTGAGTACCTCCCAGAGTAGGACTAGAAGAAGGAGTATGCTAGGTGAGAAACTTCCTTGTGTAAACAACGTTGACAACAAGTAGCCATTCATTTAGAGGTCAGACCTTTTTGTGCGTCCAGGTCTTAACTCTGAATATCAGGCTACAGCCATTTTCTGTCTCTCTTGCCTTGCAAATATTTAAATATTTAGTGAACAGTGGAACAGCTTCAACAAGAGCAAGTGAATGCATCCAGCCTAAAATGTCTTACAGCCTGGTGATTAAAATCAGGTACTTCTGGGAGAGAAGATCTTCATTTCTCCCCTCCTTTTTAGTCATAAACCAGTCAGTTGAATCATTCTTGTTCTTTTTCAGATCTGATCAATCTTTAATTCTTGTAGGCAGCGTATAAAAAGTTAGAGCAGCTTCTGCAATACACTTGACAACTTCCTCCTCCAAATACCCTGTAACCTAGTGCTGTGTTTGCTTCAGGTTCTGTTACAGTTCCAGCTGGAGGCTGTAGCAGACCTACGTTACTGGAGCATGAATTTTAGATGCATTTAGATGGAGAGTCTGTACCCACACTCCACTATGACTATATCACATAATGAAGAAGTATAAGAAACAGCAACTTGTGGCAGTGGAGGAACTAAAGGCTCTAATGCCCTCCTGATCAAAAAGTGCCTGGCAGGGAAAAAGCGCTTATTAAAGTGCAGTATATCTCTTCTGCTCAGTTCTGGCTTTTGAGGCCCAGAGTAGTTCAAGCACTAAATGTATCTCACAAATGGGAGATTGACAGACACTAGGAGCAAAGTGAGGACCTCTAGGCCTGACAGAATGATAGAATGACTTTCCACAGACTGAACCACAATATTCTTAGAGTTTTATATTGTTCTACTACAACAAACCTGGTCTAAGTGACCGGGGTGTGTATGTGTATGTGTGTGTAGACAAAACAAATACCCATGTTTGATTTAGATTTAAAACATCATCCCTACTGACTATTTCTCACATTTATCATCTAACGAATAATCAGAATCAATGTTGCCACAAGAGACAACTTATCTCTTTTTAAGCATTTTCAGCTTCAAAATACCGTGAAACATGTTTTTTGCTTCAGCAATGATTGTAACGTGTCTTTGAATGTGCAGTTCTAGATAGGGAGAGCTGTTAACAATTCTGTAAGGAAAAGGTGTTGTATTACAGCAGTAGCTGCCTACAGCCATTATATGTGGGAGATAAAATGCTGGTGAAGCTCTGTCTTATTCTTCCTGCTCCCTTCACAATGAACTCAACTCATCAGTCATCTCTGATGAGGACAGTTCTGTGTCCTGTTCCCACACTATAGTCTTCTGTCTCTCTCCTCCCAGTCAATTCGTGCAAGCAAAGAGTTGAGCATCAGTAATGAAAATCATTAGAAAAGCGCTCCTCTCTGTCTGTGGCTTTCAGGCACCCTCAGAGTTCTAGGGCTGTACCTCAAAGAAGCCGCATAATAACCTTGAACCCCTTGACCTTGATGCGCTCCCTCTGCGTTCCAAATATCCAGTGATTGTGTATGGGGAACCTTATGTCCCCCATACTTAAAACTGCAGTTTCTAAGACTTACTCGTTTAGAATAAGTCTGGTCTATTTTTATTGTTCCTTTCCTTTCCTTTTATTGTTCTTCCTTTCCCTTCATCTATGCTTAATACATACAGAAACTAAGGCATTCTAAAGCAGAGTGGAAGACTATGAATCTCCTCCAGCAGTTCAGGGAAAAGAGATTCTGAACCAGTCCAAGTATTTCTAGACTAATATGTATGCAAGATTCTCATCAGAAGAAAATTAGTAGTTCTTACTGGGTTTGTGCTTTCTGTGCAACTGATTTTCCTGTGTACATCATGAAGGGAAAAATGGTCACTTTTAACTTGCATTTTACTTTTTTACCTATTTATCTTTTCTGTAGGAGTGAAGATGGAAGAATTTCTCCCCCCTGGTGCTAGTTTGAAATGCACAGTTTGTACTTACACTGCAGACTCAGTGATTAACTTTCATCAGCACCTGTTCTCTCATCTTACTCAAGCTGCCTTTAGATGCAATCACTGCCATTTTGGCTTCCAAACTCAGAGGGAGCTACTGCAGCACCAAGAGTTACATGTCTCTGGCAACAAGATTCAGAGAGAAAGTGACATTGAACACTCACCAAGTGGAAACGAAGAAGGTTTACAGCCAGCAACGGACCTGTTGAGCAGAAATGATGTTCCCCAAAGCCAAAAGACCATGCAGACTAAAGATGCAAGTTCTGATACGGAGCTCGATAAATGTGAAAAAAAGACTCCACTTTTCCTTCCAAACCAGAGGCCAGAAACACAGCCTGCAACAAATAAGCAAAGTTTTTCATACACTAAAATAAAATCTGAACCATCCAGTCCAAGACTTGCCTCATCGCCTGTTCAGCCCAATATTGGCCCTTCTTTCCCAATGGGACCTTTTCTTTCCCAGTTTGCTTTCCCCCAGGACATCACTGTGGTTCCTCAGGCTTCAGAGATATTAGCCAAAATGTCTGAACTGGTACATCGAAGACTGAGGCATGGAAGTAGCAATTATCCTCCTGTAATTTACAGTCCTTTGATGCCAAAAGGGGCTACATGTTTTGAGTGTAACATAACATTCAATAATTTAGACAACTACTTGGTACACAAAAAGCATTACTGCAGCAGCCGATGGCAGCAGATGGCGAAGTCACCAGATTTTTCCAGTGTTCCAGAAAAAATGCCAGAAGCTGTAAGTCCCAGTAATGGTCAAAGCTCTATAAACATCTTGAATACAACTCCTCACACATCGGATCCTGAGAATCAGCTTCTGCAGACCCCTTGCATAAACTCTTCGAGTGTTTTAGATTTGATTGGGCCAAACAATAAAGGTCATGATAAAGACTTTACAGCACAAGCTAAGAAGTTGTCAAGTGCAAGCAATGGTGATGAGAAGATAAATGGAAAACCTTCTGATGTGAAGAATCCCAGCACTCCTTTAGTAGAAGGGGAGAGTGATCCCAGTAAGACCACGTGTGAAGCTTGTAATATTACTTTCAGCAGACATGAAACATACATGGTCCACAAGCAGTATTATTGTGCCACTCGCCATGATCCCCCCCTGAAGAGGTCTGCTTCCAACAAAGTGCCTGCCATGCAGAGAACGATGCGTACCCGGAAGCGAAGGAAGATGTATGAGATGTGCCTACCGGAGCAAGAGCAAAGGCCACCCCTAGTTCAGCAACGATTTCTAGATGTTGCTAATCTTGGCAATCCTTGTACTTCTACTCAAGAGTCGGCAGAAGGCCTTGGAGAATGTTACCATCCACGATGTGATATATTTCCAGGAATAGTCTCAAAGCATCTGGAAACATCCCTATCTATGAACAAGTGTGTTCCAGTTTCAAAGTGTGATACTCCACACTCTACTGTTGCTTGCTTGGAGATGGATGTGCCAATAGATCTCAGTAAAAAATGTTTATCCCAGTCAGAGAGGACATCCACTTCTCCTAAAAGGCTGCTGGACTACCATGAGTGCACAGTGTGCAAGATCAGTTTTAACAAGGTGGAGAACTACCTTGCTCATAAGCAAAATTTTTGCCCTGTCACTGCCCATCAGCGTAATGACCTGGGTCAACTGGAGAGCAAGGTGTTTCAAAACCCGGAAAGTGAAAGAAACAGCCCAGATGTCAGTTATGAAAGAAACATAATCAAATGTGAGAAAAATGGAAACTCAAAACAGTCCTCTCCTAATGGAAACTTATTTTCGACACACTTAGCAACACTTCAAGGACTAAAAGTCTTTAGTGAAGCAGCCCAGCTTATTGCTACAAAAGAAGAAAACAAACATTTGTTTCTTCCACAATGCCTTTACCCTGGAGCAATAAAGAAAGCTAAAGGAGCAGATCAGCTTTCCCCATATTATGGAATAAAGCCAAGTGATTACATTTCTGGTTCTCTTGTCATTCATAATACTGATGTAGATCAAAGCACAAATACAGAAAGTGAATCTCCTAAAGGCCAAACTCCTTCAAATGGATGTGCTGTGCAGAAGAAAGAATCTCTTCCATTATTGCCAAAAAACCGAGGCATGGTAATAGTTAATGGGGGACTAAAACAGGAGGAAAGATCTACAGCAAACCCACAACAAGAGAACATTTCCCAGAATCCTCCGCATGAAGATGGGCACAAGTCTCCCTCCTGGATCTCTGAGAATCCTTTAACTGCAAATGAAAATGTCTCTCCAGCAATTCCTACAGCGGAGGAACAGTTGTCTAGTATAGCAAAAGGAGTGAATGGTTCTACCCAGGCCCCAACCAGTGGAAAATATTGCCGACTGTGTGACATCCAGTTCAACAATCTTTCAAACTTTATAACTCATAAGAAGTTTTATTGCTCGTCACATGCAGCAGAACATGTCAAATGAAACAATTGGTCGGTCACCTTTGGTACCTGTGTTTAGCATATTGTTCCATACAGTCTAAAGAAAGCTGTTTGAATTACATCTGGACAATCAGGAGATAATTCACTATTGCTGAGTTGAAGACTTAAAGGTGTAATTTCATTACAGTCCATTAGTAAAGTGTATTATTGGTGCCATTTTCAAAAATATTAATTTATTTTACCAGCAGTATTCATAGCTGTAGTTATGTTATTTTTTATTTAAAAACTTTATATTAAAGTCATTTGTAATGTTATTGTATAGTTATTGTGTAGCACATATGGTTTGCACTGTATAGTAGATTTTAAAGAAAATAGTCACAAACAATACAGAAAAGCATTTTAGAAATAGCTTCAAAAGCACTTGTGTATCCTGATTTTTTTTCTTATATGCTGTTGCAGATATATGTATATGCTAAAATATAACTTGCAAAAAAGTTTCAACTATGCTGTAAAGTTCGCCTTAAAATTTCAATTTTTTGAACAATTGGGCTCAGTTTGCACTTTATATTTTAGCAGATACAGTACCTTAGTCATTAGGCTTTGCATTTGTATGTAGCAGTATGTTTCTGTCCACTTTCTTAATCTGAAACGTACGTTAAATGAAGATGGCAATTTTTTTCTTGTATAGTACTTGTATTTTCTTTCGCTGATGCATCTCTGTCTCAATTTTTAAACCTTTGCTGTTAAATGCAATACTTTATAAAGAATGAACAAAATTACTGGAAGCAGTATTGTAAGTAATGAGGTCATATCAATCAGTTTTATCTTTTGAAAGGCACAGTCAAAAACAAAACCCTAAACTCAATGCTGCAATTATGAATCTAATTCATATATAAGATATATTTAAATATAAGAGTAGCAATACTGCAACTGGTGATCACAAAGATAATGTTCTACTTCTGATAGAAATAATTTCTCAACAAATGTTGTTACTATGCATGTATATGGATGGAATAAAATTCCAGATCATTGGAGATGTTTGGCAGTAATTTCTTTAAATTTGTTTTATTTTGTTTTTCAAAGAGCATTTAGAGCTTTACAAACTAAAGAATCTCTTAGGAGCGGGTTAACATTGCCCTCTCTTCAGTGGAAGCAAAGAGTTTAAAGAGAAAATGAGCACAAAGGATGCCTCCTTTCTAAGGAAGTCCTTGCTGACAGGTTACTAACACAACTAAACCTAAGCTAACCTAGTGAACTAAAATTCGAAATGTGAAAGTCTGAAACCAAGAAGTCTATTTCCTTTACTGGAGCTAAGGAAGACATACTTCCCTGGAGAACTGGTGGAGTACTTCTGTATATCAAAATCAGTTAAACAGTTTGCTCCATAATACCTTTGGCATGATTCTTTATCTGTTCAGTGGTCTTAAGAAAAGCAACTGATAACATTCGTTTAAAGTGAGTAACAGTTTGCTCCACTAATTCTATATATAAATACTATTTAATAACTTATGTTTTATTAAAGTCTGAACTGCTGCACAGTTAACACCCTTCACTTGCAGCCATTCAGTCTCCTGTACACTGCTTTCATAAAAAAATTATGACTATGAAAGTGAGCTATTGATGCATTTTTCATCCCACAAATTTGAAAGCAAGACCATGACATGAATGTCACATGAACAGTTGTATTTAATTTAGTTCTTATATCAGACGAAGCACCAACACAAAATCGAATACATGAAAGGATGACGTTACAGCTAAGCAGCCAGTTGGAATCTAGCACAACAGTATGCAATCCTACTGGCTTTTGGCCACCTGTCCTTCTGTACTTCAGAACTGAATTCATCCTTTTGTATCTGCAAGTGCAGAAGAACACGTACGTGTGATCCAGTAGCAAAAATATAAAAACCTGGTGATTACCAGGGCTTTAAAAACTAAGTAAAGATGCTTATGTTGTGCTAATTCTTTCTCTCAACAAAGCTAACAGGAGCTTTACATTAATTTCAGTAGGACCAAAACTGGTCCTATAGCAATTACTTAAGGTAATATGTCTTGTGAAAGCATACAAATAAAAGCATTACAAATACAAGGAGAATAAAACAGATTAATCATTCATCATAATAAATTGAACATTTATTAGAAAATATCACACCAGTATATCTAACACTCTACAATATTTCAGAGAGATGGCACATTTTGACCTTTTTGGTGGCAAACATCGATTTGAGGGTTGTCCATAACAACCTTCTTGGCTTAAAGACTTAAATGATTAAAACTAGATTGAATTGTGCTGTTTCTGAGAGATCTACGTGCATATTCGTGGTTGTTACTCGAAACAGACCAAAACTTTTAGGTGAAGTAAGCTGGCCAGAAAGCCACGGGTAGTGTAACGTAAAATTGCCAAACTCCATGAATGTGTTTACATCACAAGATAGTAGAGGAGAATTCCATGGCAAAAGGCGGTACCTAGCTAAAAAGTGGTGAAAAAAGGCTAAAAGGGAAAAGCCTTAACACAGCGTATTGCTGACCCGGAAATGCTGGGTGTGCCTGATATACTGCAAAGCTATATTAAAGCCTGGAATGTGGTATTATTTTCTTCCCACTGGCTAGTCCATTTGCTTTCACACCACAGAGTAGACTTGATGGCATATTCTCTTTATAGATCATGTGTTTGGTTCACCAGTCCCATATTTGCAGCTTCAAAACCAGCACAGCCTGTTCATCTTGGTGTACAAAGTTACAGGAATTTGACGCACACGCTACAGTTCACTTACTTCACTGAAGCATCTGGCAACTCTGAAATATGCTAAACCCTGAAGCATGCCATCACATTCTCTGAAGGTATAACTTTACATTAACTAAGTAGGTAGCAAATGTGGATTAGTGACATTTTATTTCTTATATATTTGTTTAAAAGTATTTAATAAAGATAGCTACTCACATAGCTGGTCTTGGGAAACATATTTTCCCATAACTTTTACATGCTATTTTTTTCATTTTCTTTATTGCACTCTTTTTTTTTTTTATTTGCTCGTTCAAAATAAGAACATAAATTGAGCAGCAGGAAATATCTTTTACATCTCTTAGGCCAGTTTGCATAATGCCGCTATAATCCCAGCTGGGGTGAGGGGGTGGGTGAGGTGATTAAACACATCTGGGCTGTAAATAATAACTATTATTTACAAGAATAAACTACTTACTTAAATATTTTCTGATTATTTTAATTATCTACAGATTATACATTTTTTCAAAGTGATTTTAAAACAGTTGAACTATCTCTTACTAACAACTCCTATTGAATATAGGCTCTTCCCTGTTTTTGGTTGTGAGTTTTTGTAGGTTTATTAATTATTTATCAAATCATCTAAACAAAGAGTCTATTTTTAGTGCATCTTTAATATCTGAAAGTAAGCAGGAAATAGATTACCTCGGTTAACATGGTTTAGATTTGCTAATTCGTCAACTGGAGTCAGTGAATAAATCTTTGGGGCTATCAAGTGGAGATGAATAACTAAAGAAAAGGCATTAAAATATTTCCTGTTTTTATGACGCAAAAAATAAAATTCCTGCGTATGACGGCCTGATATTTAAAAGAGCTGATTCCTGTCTGACTCCTGATGTACTGACTGCCTGGCAGACTTGGCATTTGACTCTCTGGCTTTTTAAGAAAAAAAGAGTTCCTTATTCACACAATGTCCCATCCACATGCAGTTCTAAGGACCAACGTTGTGGCCACGTCCCTGGCTGGCTCCCTAACTTGCAGCTATTCTATAAGTCTGACTTTGAAAGACTGATGTGAATCCTCATGTATATAACAATTTTTACACGTTTGCTATGTGGTCTCTCTCATCCCCATCTCATATCTGAATGTTTAAATTGTGGTCACTTCTTTATTATAGCCATGAATCAGGTGGACATGCCTAATGCAAGCAGTAAAGGGCATTGCTACAAACTGCTGCCTGCTCATCTTGAATTAACTGTAGTAGGTTCTGTAGTTAAGGTTCTGGTGACATTTTCTCACTGCTACAAATAGTAAGAAAGCCACATTGTAGATATTTACCAGGGATCCATGCTGCCAACTTTCTGAGTCTCTGCTGACTACATTCACTGTCTGACACTGTCCACAGTAATATGGTAGTCACATCCCAAACCCAATCTGAGAGGATGCTGCAATAAGTGATTGTTCCCATGTACAATAAATGATGTACCATTGAGCAATGCAGAAGGAAGAAAAACTTTAAAAAACTGATGTAGGAAGAAAAAAATGAACATCAAAGCCAGCATCATCAGCAAGGTGAGATGGAGGAGGGGTAGTTTATTTCTCTGAACTGAAACAAGCTATGAAACAGAATTCATTCTAAGATATTGGCTGAGGTAGAGCTGTTAATAGCCTTGAAGACAAGGCTTAAAGAAAATAATGTGGTGAGTACAATGGAAGAAGAATGGTGTGGAATAACCTAATTGAGGGGCAGAAAAGATAAGGAAAAGAGGAATCAGCACTTTGTTAGTCTGGAGAGTGTAGTAGGGGTACTCTGATGCCTGCACGAGCAGCAGTTACCAAGTATCAGCACTACAAAAACTCTGTGCAAAAACTCTGTGCATCCGAGGAGGCCCATGAACATAATGGCCTACTGAGAGCAGCTAAAATGCCGATGAAACAAAATAGTTGGGAGGTCACTTCCAAGTGCTAACCATAGCCAGTGCAGAGATCCTGGCATTTGGTCATCTCCTGCTCCCCAGGGCTGATGATGAAGACAGCAATGGCAGTTCTTCCCACCTACCAAATCCCCTTCACAGCTGAGGCACTGCGCTGCCAAGAGCTGTCAGGAAAGACACAACGCAGAACAGATGAGTTTGACCCTATTGTAAATAAGAGATAAGTCAGATACCGAAGCTTCAGTTATGTTAGCCCACGGGGAACACGCCTGGTCCTCTCATCTGAAGCCTTCCACGTAGATCATTGACAGCGCTTTGCATCTAGACCCTTTGGAGCCATAGCAGAAAGAACTAAAATAATAATGATGATATTTGCATGTGGAATGAAATAGAGCACAGTACGGGAAGGAGGGCAGGAAATTTGCACTCAGATAATTAAAGCTTCGGATGAATGAATTGCAATTGCAAGCGTAGGACAACAACTTTTGTGCCAGGATGAACAGGCAACCTTAATTCTGACACTTCCAGCTTCTAAATACATGTTTTGCTCCTACGCTATTCCTTTGACATATACTTTAATATATGTTTGTGTCCATGTATATACCCAGACACACATGTATGTATACAAAATATATACAGAGATGAGTAAGAAAGGGAATGAAGCTAAACTAGATTAAAAAATAAGCAGATAAATGAGGTGATTAGAGAAATTCTTTGTTTGCAGAAGCAATAGTAAGACCCTTTTATCCTCATTGCTTAGGTAACTGGCACCTTGTGGCACATAGTAGGGAGATGACACATTCTCTTCCAAGTGCAGATGTGCTGCTGGGGATATTACTCTCTGCCCTTTCTGCTCTCAGCTGCTTGGCACAGTTCCCAAAGCAAGGTATTTGCTGCTACCTGCCAACTCAATTGCTCATGCACTTGTTTTCTCTACCTGCGAGAATAGTTGCTTTTGTAATTAAGGATTTTGTTCTGTTTTGGGTTTTTTTTTGCTTGTTTTTACTGTTTAATATGTCTTAAATCAATGTCCCTGATACAGGGTGGAGGCAGGTAAAATGAGCTGCCTGAGCGAGCATATCGGAGAGGGCAGCAGTCTCCACCAGTGAGGTGAGGAGAAAAGGAGAAAGCTGCAGCAGTCAGTGCTTCAGCCAGCTCAGCTGCGGAGCAGTGCCTGAGCGAGCCCACGCAGAGCACCGTCCTGCAGCGTTCGCAGCACGCACTTAAATGCCTGAGCCTAACAGGAACTTTTTACAGAACAACTAATAATAAAAACTACAGCTCACACACCAGTCAGTTTTGTCTTTTAAGTGAATATGTCTATGAATAACAGTTCTTCCTTTCAAACTTTTGGATAGGGTGCTGAGTAAAGAAAGTCACT